GTTCAGCTGTGTCTGGCTTTGGCCCCTAAAAAATTTGGGATGATTCGGGGAACCTCATTAGAGACAACTCTGAATCACTACTGTGACTCTTTGCGCCAACGAAAGAGGATTCGAGAATCGGGAATGTGGAACTTTGTTTAAAAGGTTTTCCTTATAAGAAAAGAGAGAATCAGAATATTTTTATATTTTAATATTAAAAATATCAAGATATATAATAATTTTAAAATAAATTTAATAAAAATAAAATTTTTTATATATAAAGCATTTAATAATTATAATTTGATGTTTTAACATTTTTAATATCAAAATGCCTTAATTTTTAATTTTTTTAATTTTTATTTTTGTTATATTAAGAATGTTCTTATTAGTAATTGAAAAAAAATAAACATTTACTTTATTTTATTAATTGATCAATTAAAATAATGTATTTATTATTAATGTTAAAAATAAAGCTAATTTTTGTGTTTTTGTGTTTTTTCATACAAATTAATACCAGTACTAGTAGCTAAACATTTGCATGCATTAATTACATTTCTTTTTTCTCTAATAAAAAAATAAAATTTTACTTTTTTTTATTAACTAATCAATTAAAATCATATATTTCATATTTTGTCTCAAAATAATTTTTATTTTTTAAGTTTTTCTCTAAATTAAGCAAAATGAGACAATTTTGTATTTATTTATAATACCCTTTAAAAAGATATAAAAGATAAAGAGAGATTTTTTGTAATTAGATAATAAATTAAAATAAATAAATAATAATATGGGTAAAGTAAAAAAAAATATTTGCCACTTAATAAATGGCAAAATCACAATTAATTTAAAATAAATTTAAAGTAAAAAAAACAATAATTATTGTAAAATAAAGAGAGTTCATGATATTAATATTAAAAATGAAGTTAATTTTTTTTTTATTTGAACAGGAGAGAATTTGTAAGGGAAAAAGAGTAGGACTTGACATTTGAACTCAACCCGTTTGTAAGGTGACCATTAGGTCACGAATTATTGGACAAATTTATTTTTTTATTTTTTTCATAAGATAAATAAAAAAAGAATTTCCATACTTTTTCATATGATTAAATGAAAAAGATGCAATTAATTAATGCCCCCTAAGGCCATAAATGATAACCTAACAGGCCAAAAGTGCAATTAACCCTCAACCGACAAATCTTCTCGAAATCCGGTGTGGGTCTAAGGATGATTAATTTATCATTAATGTAATAATTACAACACAATATAAAATTATAAATTTATAATTATTAAAAAAATATTTTATAATTTAAATTATACTAAATTATAAAATAATGTTTATTTGATTGGAGAGAACCCCTGGTATTGTTCCTCTTTCTCAATTTAAGTGCCT